AAACAACATGTACCTAAAATTGGGGGCAAATCAAATTTTAGCCTTTTTTTAGTATTTTTTTCATTCATTCATTGATTTTGATTTTAAATTCTTAAATTATGATAATGAATAGAATGAGTCATCTTCCTGCTGGAGAAGTGAGGGATAGAGTCGAGGTAACAAATTTGTATTTACCTAATATTTTCTGACGATGGAAAACTTGGAAAAGGGTGTCAAAAATTCTCTACACTAGTGTTGCTAAGGAACTAACTCAATCAAACTCTAAAAATCTATAATTCACTTATCTTCGCAACCTGGATGTCGCAAACCTTTGAGATTTCAAACTAAGAATTAAGATCAAAAGTCAAAGTTCAAGTTTTACATTAGTGGGGTGTAAAGATTTTTTCAGGAAAATATTCACCCCTTTTTTTAAACTTTAACAACCCCGTTTGTTTAGGCCATACTTCGGGGTGAAGGAGAAGACCCTTCAGGGTATAAGTTTATGGCGATTGGTTTATGGAAAGCTGAAAGACAGATGTTTGAGATAGATTTCCATGATGTTGAAAGAAGAGTTCTGAAAAACAAGGTAACCCCGCACAGTGGGGTATTTTAGGGGGTCAGGGGGGTGAATGGTTTTTTTGTCACAATATACTCCTCTATTAAAACGTTAGGAGTTCACGCGGAAAATACCAGTTTTCTGTCCTATTTCAGAACCTCAACACAGCATTACGGTGACTTAGAGACTTCTCTCAAAAAAGTACTCAAGCGACCGATCCTTATTTGACTCGAATAAGAGGTTTATTCAGAGTTCACTCACTAAGTACGTGAGTATTCAGAACCAATAGAGATTGCAACGGCGGCAATATCTATCTTTCTATATATTCAAATCTTATAATTCAATTAGCAAATGTAAATTAGCGGCAAAGACTAACCGAATTCTTTACTTACATTGAAACAAGGGGAACTGGAAGGATACATGTTAAGTCGCATACTTTATATATTCTTATTTTACGGGAAAATAAAATAGAATAGCCCCAAACAGGGAAAATAAAATAGAATAGCCGCAAACAGGGGAAATAAAATAGAATAGCCACAAACAGGGGAAATAAAATAGAATAGCCCCAAACAGGGGAAATAAAATAAAATAGCCACAAACAGGGGAAATACAATAGAATAGCCGCAAACAGTGGAAAATTAAATAGAATTGCAAGAAACAGGGGAAATAAAATAGAATAGCCCCAAACAGGGGAAATAAAATAGAATAGCCACAAACAGGGGAAACAAATTCTAAAAAGTAGGGAAAGATTTCCCAAATATAATTGATCATGACAATTGTGAAAGGCAGTAGTTAACTTTTATGTTTTTTTACTTCAATCTCGTTTTACTTGAAAAAAAACTTATTTTTTTGTTTCCAGAGAGGTAACCACAAAACAGTGGAATGATTTCAAAGTCAAGAGAAGGGAAAAAAAATCTAATTTTTACTGGTTGTCGCTGTACAAGTAGATTGATATAATGTATCCTTTTTTTTGCCTTTATAAATGAAAAACTAACTTTAATAAATGTAAAAAGTTATTATTTTTACAATCTAGGGCTGCGTCAAGACTGTTATACGACTGCTTAAACTTATGAGAAACAAAAAGGTATTTTTCTTTAAGAGTAACATTCCCGATTCACATCGGTATCCTTAAAACCTTTCTGATAAGTAAAGTGGAAGATAACGCAGGTTTTCTTGCGTTAAAAGTGTTTCATTATGTTTTTTTCTCCATTGTCAATGAAGCAACCAATGCGTCAGTCAATTTTGTAGATAAACAAAGAAAGAAAATAATCAGTTTTAAAAAATAAAAACATGGATATCATAATTCCTACTTGTAAATTGGATATCCCATTTTATCAATGAAATTCCGCTTACAGCCCCTTTTACTTTCCGATTTTAATCTTTGTGACTCATGAACCTAATTTTACATTTTAAATTTCCTCTTTAAACGGTTTCATAGAATTATGTTTAGGGTGGTTCGATGAATAAAAGTTGGTCGCATCTCATCAAAACAATAGGAATACTGTTTTTTACATTTTTTAAACTTCTTAAAACTTTCCAGAAAATACTACTCAGGTCTAAGCTGTCGTTGGGTCTTATTTACCGGCCTGAGCTTTCGGATTCAAGTTGCATCTTATTGTACACAGAGTTGAGTTAAAAAAAAAACGGTTTAATATTCTTTTGAAAGATTTTCATGGTAGTAATTGGCATATTCCGGGTTTTTATGAGAACAAGACTCAACATTAAGCCTTATTCTCACTAAAACGAACCAAGGTCGGTTTTATTTTCATTGGGCCTAACTCCTAATTCGAGCCTAAGATCTCGCAGCTGTCAACCACGTGACACAAGCTGCCGTCAGAGTTGAGCCTAAGATTGGGTCTTAAACTCGGGTTTAAGGAATTACGACCCTAGTCGAAGCTTTTAAATCGCGGGCTCAGGGTCCGGAGTAAAATTTAAAAGTTTGACTAAAAAACATCATGTTGTGACAAAAATTAAAGAAATTGCTCTTTTTAAATTCTTTTTTTTTCGAACAGTGTCAGGTGATTATATCAATACAATGAAGACTAGTTTTTCATTTAAGTTTTGAATTTTGATTGTTAACAAGCTTTTTTGAATTTCAAGTTTAATTGACAGGTTCTCTTGACTTCTATGTTTATGTCTATTCATGCTGTTTAAAAGCTTGATATAAATCAAAATTTTAAACTAAAGTCGTCTTCTTTGTATTGATTTAATCGCAAACATTTCTGATCTCTAAAAGGATTAACAATACAAAAGTTACAACCTCTTTTTTTCATTCACTCAAGTCGAAAAACTTTCCAAAATAAAAAAAATTTGAATAAAAACGTATTTAATATTTTGTTCTTAATATTTATTAATAGTTACTTAATGAATGTATTAGTGATGCATGAGGTCCTGCTTCACAAATCTCCGGGATTCTGGAATGAATCTCGTTTGGTTGAACTCTTCATTCAAATGCTTCGGTAAAATTTCAGATGATAAGTCGTCTTTAATTTACGCGCCATTATTGTTTTAAAAAAATGTATAAATTATTGATAACTACTCAAAAACAATAGTTTTAAGCAACAACTTTAAAAAATGTTATATTCATATACAAACATATCTTATAATCTATGTTTTTTAGTGGTTAGAAAAAAATGTCACTATTATTAAAATAAGTGTTCTTAAAACTCAGAAATGGTTTTATATAATTATAGCATATAATTGTTCAAGGGAACCAAAAACAATGTTCAAGGTTACATATAAAGTTTAATGTGCATGGGCTACAAAAAAGTAGAAATTAATTAGTCATGTAAACATCAAATTATGGTTTACACCTGGTTTATCTCTGGTTTACCCCTGGTTTATCCCTGGTTTACCCCTGGTTACCCCTAGTTTACCCCTGATTTATTCCTGGTTTACCCCTGGTTTACCCCTGGTTTACCCCTGGTTTACCCCTGGTTTATCCCTGGTTTACCTCTGCATGATTTTTTTTCTGTTTAGGGCTTGGTCTACAATGTTTGATAAACGGGAAGTACCAGACCTATTTGTAACACGGGTAAATTAAACAAGAAAAGGAAAAGAAAAGAAAGAAAAAATGAAAGATTGAAAGCAAGAGAGATATGGATGGAGAAAAGGGGAGAGTAAATTAACACGGTGGAAACAAAAGTAAAGAAAGGAAAGGAAGACAAAATTATAAAGGAAAAGAAAAGCACAACGTTCAAAGATTTTTGTTATTTGTTTGAGACCCATGATCTGCTAAGTGAGCAGAATAATTTTGCATAGAACCATATTCCCATAAAAACTCAATTTAACTGAAAACCAATGGTTGATGCTCGTAAATGTTTTATAATTTTATCAATGTAAATGCAAAACAGGTTTAGTGACGAAACTGCCCCCTGTCGAACTCCGTGTTTTATTTGAAAACAATAAGAAACAGAGCTGGGAACTTTAGAATGGATAACCTTTAATCCCGACTGCTAAATCCAAAAATTCATTGTGGAAACTTTAAATTTTAGTCTTTTAGTCAGTCTTTTTCTCTCTCATCCATACGTTGTTTTCTCCAGGAATATAGTTTGTAAATTGTGTTGACCAATGACAGCTTTGAAAATAAAAAACTATTAAATAGGAGACCATGGCAATTTCTAACATATAAAGAATTTGTTGTCGGCCATTTTGTAAATTTATTGATTAAGAAAAATATTATTAATATGTTTGAGATTTTTTAGAACTAATTTAACTCATGTATTAATAAATAAATGGATGAGAAATTAAGTTAAGGCTGTTCCAATAAAAAAAACGAACAAATCTGGCGTTCCTAGAATCAAATTTGTTGATCTAAATAATTAATCTTGAGACTAACATAATCTAGAGATTAGCAAAAAGAGAGGATTAAGCATTCATCCTGATATCCATCATTCTGAATTTCCCAGCTCTGATGAACCCCATCTTGCAGTACTTATTAGAGTACAAATATAAATCAGTCATTGTAAGATGAGAGGACATATTGCTTTATCAATAAGGTCTAGGAATAATTTATTCCATGAAACTAAATCAAATTCTTTTAATAGATCCATTCCACAGGAATAAACTATTTGTGTAAACTTTTCACAATAAAAATTAAACAATTTAAGATCAATTAAATGGATTAATATTTGAACTTTGTGGATTAAACGATTCTATAAACTATTGTGGATTCTACTATGAAGAGATATATTTTGAGCGAAGATTAAAATGCGGAGGCTTGGAGACGTAGTAAGAGGCTCGTATGTTACCATGCAAAATGGTATTTACGTAATAATCATGATTAATTGATCATTTAGTTGCATTCTGCCCCCCAATAAAAATGTTTTATGAATTACTCAGTTGCCCTAAATTTTAGTTTTATGGTCGTAAATCAATGAGACGGTTAGTTGACTTTATTTTTCTGATTAGATGAATTTGATGGGAAGACTTAGGTCATATGACCAAGCAACTGCCGACACTGCTNTTATTATTTAGCTGATTTGTTACGAAGATATGATCACGATGAGAACCTGGGAAGGATTTTCCCATCCAAAGATTATTTGAAAGGTTTGTTTTTGATTGAATTGTGTTTTTACACAGAGTTAGCCACAAAGAGTGTAAAGACGACTTGAAACTCTTGAAATGTGATTATACCAAGGTTGAATTATGTATTCTGCGCTAGATATAGTTATTTAATGGCCTATTTAATGATTTAGAAAAGAAACACACATGTTTACAATATCAGGGAAACATAAATATATGGAATCCGATACAGGGTGTCCCAGTGTTTCACATCATATATCAGATACAGGGTGTCCCAGTGTCCCACATCATATATCAGATACAGGGTGTCCCAGTGTCCCACATCATATATCAGATACAGAGTGTCCCAGTGTCCCACATCATATTAGACCGTTTATAGCTCTAATTTGAGATTGAAGGGACTACTTAGAAATTTTAAAAGAATGAATCATTTTTAAACAATGTATAAGGCTAAAATGAAAATTTTCTTGCAGAAAATACCAGGTTTTTCGAGTAGTATTGTGTGCGTATTTTGGTGTTCAATCTTGGAAATAATCCAATATGATATGGAACCCTCTGTAGTATGAATTCCGTACTCTCGTCTTTTAAGTCTCATCCTTTGTGGGTAACTCTGTATAAAAAATCTAAATTTCAAATTTGACAAAAAAATTCGATGGGTTTTCTTTAAAAAATATATCAATTTTGGTCCAGCCGTTTAGAAAGCTATAGCGAACATAAATATATAAATCAATTTATTTGAGCAAAGAGCTTTATTATATAGATCATCTTTTTCCTGTATTTTTATGTATAGGGTGTCCCACGAAACATGACAGTTTGAATGTCTTCTTCCATAATTTGTTAAGTTGTTTAATACCAAAGACAATAATAAAAATATCATATAGGAGTCTCTTATTGTAGTAAAATTAACTTCAAAGTAAAATATATTTGAGCAAATAAACTGCTAACAGCCTTTAATATCTAATACACTGTATGAAAGACGATATTCAAATCTATTTAAACGCTCTTGAATTGTGTTTTTCTAATACGTTTATAAGTAATGTGATAGCTTGACGAAAAAATCATTCTGGCCTTTTCTGCAGTTTTAAAACTAGCGGCGGTAATTATTTTCTACTGTAAACCTTCAAAATCATCTTTATCATTGTTATTATTATTTTTAAGATCATTACCATTAATCATCCATAGTTAGTGAACATTATAATCATAATTTCAATCAATCTTGTCATTGTTAAAATCTTCATTATTATAATTTTTATATTTTATAATGTATATTTACGTAAAATATATCTTATTGTTTGACATCATTTCAAGTGACCCTTCATGTAAAGAGTACGTCGTATTCCCAAGTTACAACGAACATATCCTTTTTTTCCATTTAAACTTGCGGTTTTATGCATAGAAGAAGAAAACGAGGATTTCTTCACTGTAAGAGTGAAAAGGTACTGTTGTGAATAGAGCTTCTACGTCATTGAGAGTTGAGAGATACTTGAAATCACATTGACAGTCTTTTGATGACATTTTTATGTTTAGCCTACAACACTATTGGGCCTGGTTCCATGCAACAAAGTTTGGTAAATTTTTTTTTATTTTTATACTCCGCCATTTTTCGTTTACGTTGAATATCTTTTAAATAAGCAATTATTTGTGAAAAATACTCATGATTAATTTTTTTTTGAAAATTGAGAATATTTCGAAGTTATAGAATTTGCGGTACTTTTCATGTTTGGATCCTCAGCCAAAGATTTAATTCTTTATTCCTTAGACACAGTTTTAAGGCTCAATCTTAGACCCAACTTATAAGTCAACTCATGACAGCCTGTGTCACGTGATCGACAGTTGCCAGCCCTTAGGCTCGACTTAAGGAGTTAGGCCCAATGAAACTAAAACCGACGTGGGTTGGTTTTAGTTTCGAATCAGTCTGAGTGTTGAGTCTTATTTAATCAAATCCCTAGAATCCACCAATTCTAAAATGAAAATCCCCAAATTAAATATTAAACCGGTTTAAGAAACCCAACTCTGTAAAAAATTAGTTGCAACTTAAATTTAAAAGCTCTAAGTAAGTAAAGTAAGTAAGATTTATTAGAGATAAATCAAGATCATAATACATATTATAATATGATTAACATTCTCATAGGAATATAATTGAATATATCATGGGTTTTATCACAGAATAAGATAAGGTTATATAATAAGGAGTTTAATTTTCTCTGCATATAGGGAATAGCAGATTTTCTGTATTTCTTTGTTCTGGCATAGTTGACAGTAAATAGTTCAACGTTCCGTAGCTGGTGGTTGTGAGTGACTGGTTCTACCGGGAGCTCTAGTCTTAAATAAGTCTCAATTACCGAAAAACATTATTCAAATAACCGAAGTAAAATTGGTCTTGATGAACTCCTGAAAATTTTAGGCTTCATTTTACCCTAACAGTCCCTTTAAGATTAATTTAAGACAATTTTTAGATTAATTCTAGACTAATGTTTGACTTACTTTAGTCGGCGGAAGCAGTGGAAGATAACCGTTCTAGTAGATCCTACAATAGGGTAGTAAACCGTACTACCACACAACCTCAGGAATCCAGGTCTATGCTTCTTTTTATTTTTTCAATTTTGTCTTGTCATTTTTATTTCATTTTTTTCTAACATTAGCTTGTTAGACGAAGATTAAATTATTTATTTTTGAGTGTTTTAATTCTAATGCCAACATTAAAGAGACTGCAGTTCTAGTCTCAAGTGATCCTTAATTTGAAGATTGGCATTTCCAATTCACAACGGTACCCTTGAAACTGATATCTGAATAATTGAAGATTGGCATTTTCAATTCACAACGGTACCCTTGAAACTGCTATCTGAGTAACAATGAGAAAGATGTCGTTTTTTATCTTAAAACAGTCCAACAATTTCCTTTATTGTTTCTGGAGCATAATTACGCAAATCACTACAGAAAAACCACAAATGAAATGATCAAAGCTGGACAAACAAGGATATCTTAGTCAACCTTGATCATAAAATGTTCAAAAGGCACCGTTGTGAATCCGACAATAGAAATGGAGGGACACTTATAGTTGGGGCTACAGTACCTTTAAATAGGGAAATTTTTTAAAATATCCATTATACCTACCTTTATTGCAGTCATCAAAATAACCGTCTTTAAACTAAAATTCTTGATATATACATATGGAGACAACCAGAAAATTTAGCAGTAATTGTCATCTTTTTGTTGATTTTAATTTTAAAATCAACTCTTTATATACGGGGCACAGTTTCAACTATATTCCACTTTAGCTCAGCTGCAGACCATCCTAGCTCTGTTGTATATCACTCTAATTAAGTTGCAATCCAAGATTTCTCCCTATCTTTGTTGTTCTCCATCCTTGCTTAGTAGCAGTCCACCCTAACTCAGTTTTACTCCACTCTAGCCCAGTTTCACTCCACCCTAGAGTTGTATACGAATCTAAGTAAGAAAGTCGCAAGAAAAAAAGTTTCTGAAAAATAAACCTGGAAATAAAAACTTTGAGAAAAAGTTCCAATTTTCTGAAGTTAAAGATTCCTGTGACTTTTTTTCCTGAAATAGTATGGTGGGCTGCCAATAAAGGCTCAGGAAATAAGATCACAGGAATTAAAGTCCTAAAGAAAAAATATCCAAAGAAAAACAAATGTAAGAATAATAGTCCTAAGTCCTAGGAAAAAGGACTTCACTTCTATTTTTCTGCACATTGAATGTTGCCATTTTTTTTATTATTAGAGGACTTTTTTCCGGGGACATATTTGTATAAAATCATACTGGAACCAGAAAAACTCATAGAAAAAAGTCTTCAAATGGTTGGACTTTATTTGCATAGACTGTTTATTTCTTGACTTTTTTCCCACAAGACTTATTTTAGTGCCAAAATATCGGACTTTTTTGGCATTTACCGTCAAACCCTAGATATTGAAATTTTTGAACCACGTAAATTAATCTTTAGTCATGACATCTAAACTTAAGACGCCTGTCGGGTACATTTTTGTTATACACACCTTTTGACTTAGATATGGAAAATTAGTTTTCCGGATACGTATAACACCGTTTAAATAAATATGTTTTATCTGTAAGGTCTGGAGTAGGTGTTGGTCTGTTTGCGACAGGGGTTGGTCTAGCTGTAGGCTTAGGGTTAGCAGCAGCATTTCTTGGAAGTAAAAATAATAGAAAATAAATGATGAAATGTTGGACCCACAAAACAGTGCACTGTATTTCCACCAGCCAAAACTGTACTTCCTCATAAATATTTCTGGTTTTAAAAAGGCAGTTTATTTCTGATTTATTTCTCCATAAGAAAGTTCATCGTATGTTTACAAACAGTACACGATGTACGTTATTAGGTAATAGGGTCATGCAATGATGCTACAGTATATCGTAAAATTACCCTACCACCTGAGAACTGAACTCTACCTTTCTTCTATAAGAATATTAAACTGCATACTTAATGCAGTTTATCGTGTATCTGTATGTAAACATACGCTGAACTTTATAATAAAGAAATAAAGAAATACAACTTTATTATATAGAAATAAATCAGAGATACTTATTAAGAAGCCCAAACATAAACATAGCAAATATGCAATGCAAAAAGACCCTTTTAACTTCATAGGTTGATTTTATAACCTAATGGAAGTAACAACATCTAACACATACGGTAACTAATATGCCGTCTTCCTATTCCATAGTTTTATGGGTCCCGTTTTAGTCGTTTTAATCCGAAAACTAGATTGTTTTAAAACTAGATTGTTTTTATAATCATTCATTAAATGTATTCCAGTCTGTAAATCTGTAAAATCTGTAAAATGTTCAAAAGAACCGACTGTAAGCTTTTGACGTTCATCATTGTAATTCAACTCTAATTATGATTTTCAAACTCAAGAATTTTTAACAAAAATGATTTGATTACTTTGTATTTTTTAAATCCTTATTATGATATTCATGACATAGAAAGCAACTTCAGACAACTCTCGATTAAACCTTCAGATTCGGAAATTTTTCGGAAAAAAAACTTTAAATACTTATTATTTTTAGAACCTATCTGGTGATTTTGAGCTTTTCTTGAATCTATTTCATAATATTTTTGATTTATATAATAGTTCTCTATTAAAGCCTGTGATTTTTTAATAGTTTGAATTATTGTAAGAATAACTTAAACTACAGAGGTCCCCAAAATATAGTAAACTCCAGCAGCGACTGTCAGGCAAAAGATATTGTTTGATATATGACTCTATTTAGGCTGGTATTCAGTTTATTATGAGGACCACTGTACGTAATTATGTTTTGTAATTTAATAACCGACTGCCAATTAATAATTTTATTCTAACAGATTTTTGCATGTACAATAAATATTAAGTTTGTTTTTAATAATTTTATTTTCACATTAGTTTATCACATTTATACGCGCAAAGCAGCACCCGTTTGATACAGGCTTTGTCGTAGATATCAATAGAATGAAGACGACGTTCAATTTCAATTTTTGATTTTTACTGAGCTTTCAAAGAGCATGGATACACATAAACATGGAAAAAAGAGAAATAGTCAATTAATAGCTTGTACTTAAAATTTGATTAGAAAAACTTGTTAGAAATTCAAACTGAAATAGATATATTGATATATTGATATAAACGCCGACCACTGAATTGTCTTAAAGGGAATGTAAACAGATTAACTTGTTTTTAATCTCTAACTAATCAGAGAGACTACAAACCAGATAGTCTTATAGCGCGCAGTGAATTTTCGCGGCATTGTTCGTAAGTTTTAGGGAAAAAACAGAGCTTTTGTGATATTTAACCATATTGTGGAAAAATATTCTGTTTATTTCATTTAACCCGGTCAATTTATTTTTCAAAAATAAGTTTTAACTTTATCTTAATCTTATGTTAAGAAATAAACTATTCATCGGTAACATTTCAATACACAGTGGTAACCAGAACAGGAAGACGACTTTTAGACTAAATTTTTGACTTGAAATAGTCATATGAACATGAGACACAACAATTGTGCAGTGTAAACAAACCCATTTTTCACTTAATTAGATATTCGATAAGTTACTAGGAAAACTATTTGCTTTGTAGCAACATCAATCAATTTAAGTATTTCTATAATATCGTCTTTCTATTCCATTGTTTTCTGGTCCTAACTGTATATATATATATATATACACTAGCCTTAGAGGGCACTTCGCGCCCATCTTCTAAATTAATTGTGAACATGTTCTCTTTGTGTACATCGTAAAATCTGAGATCGAGGATCAAATTTGTTATCAACATTTTTCCAAAATTATATACGGCGATTATTAGGTCAGAAGGGCTGTTTTTAGAGTGTATTTTGTAACTATACCTTACTAAAATACAAAAAATCCGGTTGTAAAGATTTAAGGATTAAAAATGCATGTTTGTGGCTAAACATAATTCCTTTAAAGGAATTTTCAATGCAGAGCGTCTGCATAAAGATAAGGTAAACGTTATGGGCAGAAAGGGGATTAGATTCCTGTACTCACTTCCTATCAGGAAACAAGGTTTAAACCTTGAGGCACCTTTGACCACTCTGACACGTTGGGGAGATGTTTCCTTTCTAATGAACCAGTCTTAATTTTAGTAAAAAACAAACACACAAACAAAAATACAGAACACCCAGCTACGATAATAATAATACCTGGTATTTCAGTAATTTTAGTTCTAGGTTTGGGAATATTTCAGTAATATGAGCATGTGTTAGGAGGATTACAGTAATAATATAATAGTACATTGTATGGCAATATTTCAGTATTTCTGAACATTGCTTGGCAATATTTCTGTATTATTAGCTTGGCAATTGTTTCTCCATATTACAGTAATATTACAATATTACAGTATTTCAAAACATAGTTTGGCAATATTACAATAGGAATAGTTAGTTTGGCAATATTTCTGTATTATTAGCTTGGCAATTGTTTCTCCATATTACAGTAATATTACAATATTACAATATTTCAGAACATATTTTGGCAATATTACAATAGTAATAATTAGTTTGGCAATATTTCTGTATTATTAGCTTGGCAAATGTTTCTCCATATTACAGTAATCTTTCTCTGGAATGAAGTCTCATAACTTGCTCCAAACTCTCCCCGGAGTCAATCTGAATATTTTTTAAATTCAATCATTTAATGAGATTTCCAGTAACCCTCCATCAATAGAGTGATATGTTAGATTTCATGGAAATTCTTATTTTTTATCAAGAGATGAAACTCAATAAGAATAATGATATTTACGTTTTATGCAGGTGTAAAGAGTTCTGTTCAACTAGGTTATAGTTTATAGAGGGATGATGTTCGCTAATCCTTTACTAATTGTATAGGCAATCAACTATACTGAGAGCGTACTGCATATTTGTTTATTATACTGAGTGCATACTGCATAATTGTTTATTTTAAGTTGATTCTGCCTAACCTATAGAATATTAATATTAGTGAACAGTTGCAAGTGTACAGAACAGCTAACTGAGCACACAGGTAGATAATTATCATCCCCCCTGGTTCTGTTGTACATCGGACATACCACTCTTAAAATGGTTGGTCGGTTACCTTCCCTTATAAAAAAATATATTAAAATGATCGCAAAATGGAGGATCAGACAAATTTTTACGATCACGATCTTAGATTACTGTCGCTGAACACCAAGCAGAACTTCCAAATAAAATTTTTATATTTTGTTTTCTGTCATCATCAAGTTAGATTAATATTTGAAAACTATAATATTTCAAAAGCATGAAAAGATATGAAATGCATTAATCTAAGAATAATTTTCAACTAATTTATCAAAATTGTTAAAGCAGGATTTAAAACAAGATTTATCAGCAAACTATTGCGTAATTTCAAACTGAAAACCACCACAAGATATATCTCTATATATTCCCTTCATAATTAGTTTTAAATAGTTTGAAGGGACAGCCATCGATGTAATTTTGAGTAATCCTACATTTAAAAGTGGGGAGTGTACGATTAACAACGATACCCATTAACCCTCTATCTGAGTAACACTAACAATGGAAGATATCGTTGTTGTAAAAAACTAACAATGAAAATAATCACTTTTTAAAGATAAAAAAGCATATCACATTCATTTTTGATAAGGAGGATTATGTTTTCCCTTTAGTTTAATGTTTGTGGCAGAAGTTACTTGAGCCGAGACGGTACCGTACCGTCGTACCGTCCATTCTGGACTTCCAAGCATCGACGCAGCACGTGTTATGCAACAAATGTAGCATGGCAAGATCACAGTGTATTTTCTATGCTTCTTTTTATNATATACAATATACAGGGATACCAGACTACAATATACAATATACAATATACAGGGATACCAGACTACAATATACAATATACAATATACAGGGATACCAGACTACAATATACAATATACAATATACAGGGATACCAGACTACAGACTACAATATACAATATACAGGGATACCAGACTACAATATACAATATACAATATACAGGGATACCAGACTACAATATACAATATACAATATACAGGGATACCAGACTACAATATACAGTATACAATATACAGGGATACCAGACTACAATATACAGGGATACCAGACTACAATATACAGTATACAATATACAGGGATACCAGACTACAATATACAATATACAATTTAAAAGGGATACCAGACGACAATATACAATATACAGTGGTTGGCGTTTATATCAATAAAGTCTCTGATTGCTCAAGTTACGAGTAAACTCGTCGCAAATGTTAGAACTTCTCCAAAACTTCTGCTGGATATTGCGGAGTTTAAATATATGAATACCTGAACCCCATACAGAGCCCCAGGAGACCTCCAGTGTTGGCAACAAAACTGATTATCGGAATCTTCTGATCTCGGAGTATTCTTGTTACAACTGGTTCCTAAAATACATTTTTTTCTAATTTTTCGAGTATTTTTCTTTTCAAAACGAAGTAAATGTTACTGAAATATTTAATCACAAATTTTCAACTCCAAGTATAAGCATTAAAAACAATATTAAAGATTACCTTGATGTATATATTGACTACAGCAAGATTATGCTTTGCATACAAGAAGAGCTGGTCTTCCAAAAGATGGATTCTGAAGGGTACAAAAACATATTAAATTATTAATACTTTCTATTAAGAATAGCAGATCCATTTAAAGATTTAAAACGAATTTCGATTCAACGTAATTTCAAGTAACTTGACATTTAGAGAGATATAGGATGCTGATTCACATGGGCAGCCATTTTTTAATCTCAACATTTTTCATTTTCTATTGTATCTTCTTTTTAAAAGTGACTTTGCAGATATATGCAGCAAAAAAGGATGAAATTAAGAGTAAACTAGATTTACTTTATATATAAGACTACAGAATAATTAAATTGTACGATTAACAACGATACCCATTAACCCTCTATCTGAGTAACACTAACAATGGAAGATATCGTTGTTGTAAAAAACTAACAATGAAAATAATCACTTTTTAAAGATAAAAAAGCATATCACATTCATTTTTGATAAGGAGGATTATGTTTTCCCTTTAGTTTAATGTTTGTGGCAGAAGTTACTTGAGCCGAGACGGTACCGTACCGTCGTACCGTCCATTCTGGACTTCCAAGCGTCGACGCAGCACGTTTTATGCAACAAATGGAAATATCGAAATATCGAAATATCGAAA